GACAGTTTTAGGGGATATCCTGAGAATACAAATCCAAGTGTCAGAAGTGTCACCAGTGAAAACTAGGGAGCATCTCCCTGACTTGTCATCATCCTGCACGCACAAGCCCCAAGGCGAGCTTTATTTTAGGAGCCCTTTGCATCTCCTCTCTTCTCTTCCTGCCTATTCTATTCTGGACATAAAATATTTCACAAATATGCCCTTAATTGTCACATGGGTCGCACAAGATGTTATTTTGGTTCTGTAAACTATTACAAGCCTGTTCTCACATCTTAAAGTATTTAAGCAATTAAGTGCCTCCTAAATCCATAGTGTCAGCAGTCTCAGGCTTCCCAGTGTAGCTATCCTTTGCTTCTGCAAGGATTTGGGGAAGATGTTTTATTCCAGCTTCCATTCCCCTCAACCTTTTCTCTATCCTAAGTGCAGGTTTCCTCTCTGCTCTGTATGTTCTGTTACGTTGCCTGAATAGCCCCAGAAGAACCACAATTAGATCTATGCACTTTGTCTTCTATACTCTTCACCACCCCTTTACAACTGCCTCCTTCCCCACCTACCTTCCTAATTTCATTTGCCCAACATGGATGCTTCATGATCTTGGGCATCTTTTTCTAGGGGAAAAAAAAAAGCTTTCTGGCTGCCCAAACCCTGTTAGGTTACCCCAGCTAACAATTTCTGGTCTCTGGACAGTGTCTTACATTGTCCCTCTTCCAGTCTTCCATCCATGATTGCAGTTGTTACTCATTCATTTATTTATTCAGTAGTTATTAACTGTTTGCCTAGAGAGTTTCAAGATAAGAAAAGAGGCTAAAATAACAGGCAAAAAAAAAGACACGGTCTCTGTCCCCAAGGAGATTTGAGTACAGTAGGGAGGACTTTCAAGTAAACGGACCATGGCAATATGATGGGTTATATAGGGTAAAAGAAAAATGCTGTGAAATTATACAGCAGAGGTTCTTATACTTGATGTCAGGTATTGAGGAAGACATCCCTGGAGAGATGAAAAGGGATAGTAAGTGAAGAAAAGAAAGAGTAGAATGGTGGGGGAAGAGAAACAATGTTTCAGGAAGAAGGAGCAGTATTGTGAAGACCTAAAAGGGAGAGAAAACATATTATTGAAAGGACAAAGAGATGTTTGGTGTATTTAAAGAGTGATAAAACACGAGACAGTAGCCAGATCCAGGAGAACGATGTAAACTATTTTAAGAGTTTGCACAGTGTCTCTACAGCAAAGGGGGCTACTGAAAGAATTTTTTCAAAGGGAGTGACATGGTGATTTAGCATTTTATAAAGATTACTCTGACTGCAGTGAGGAGGATAGGTGTGAAGAATGGGGGCACATTCACAGTCACACACACACACACACACACACATTCTTTTTAGCACCAAAACATATTGGCTTTTAGTTATAAATCCTTAACCAAAGTCTCTTCACTTTGATATACAGTAGTTATTATTAGTGTTTCTAGTGAGAAACAGATCAACCATAAGACTTGATTTCCCAGGGTCATAGAGCTCTCTTGCCCCTCCCCTTTCTTCCCACTCATCTCAACCCTTCCTCGTCAAAATGTGGTCCGTGGACCAGCAGTTAGCATCTCTTGGGAGAAATTTAGAAATGTGGATAGTGGTTACCACCCCAGATGTACTAAACCCACATTTTGACAAGTTCCCTAGTTGATGGATGTGCACATTTGAGTATGAGAAGTCTGTTCTAGAAATTAGACTCCCAACCCTTAATTCTATCACTATGTCTTGAGACTAATATAAATTTATTAGTGTGATTGAATAAACATTATTTTTTTTAAAGTCCACTTTATATTTTCGATTGGAAATAATGCCCCAAAATAATGTTTCTATAGTAGTCTTGGTCATGAGATGGCTTGATTACAGATTTTGTGAGCTGTGGAGACAGGGGCCTCAACAAATGAGGATTTCCCCTAAAATTACCTCTCGCATGTTTTCCACTTGTGCCTTCCAATATTTTAACTGAGTGTCAGGTTAACCTGTACTGTGATAGCCTTGCAAAACTGAAATTTAAGCCTGTGGGCAGTTGCTTCTAAGATATGTAATGAGTTTTCTTTTAATCATACTATTTTCAAATGCTTTTCTACGCACCTCTTTCATTTCCAAATTTCCATCGAAAACTACTGTTTCTGCAAACACTCACAAAAGCCTAATCACTTTCATTTGCACATTTTATAAAACAGTTTATGAGAGGGAAGCAAATGATAAATGAACAAGCAACTATCAACAGTTTGTTTCTCATAGGAAGTTATGAGGCACTGTTTTGAGTGGGAAGAGATTCAACCCAGTCTCCTGTCTCTCTAACTTCTGTCCTTTAGCCTGGCCCGGAGAGTACAGTTATCAGTAATGATGTCCTCCAAACCGCTTAAAATTCTCAATCACCAAAAAAGCTTCAAGAATGTTAAGGTTTCTATAACTGCATGGAGCAGTGGAAATAAATGCTGACCTAAAAATGAGGAGATCTGGGTTCTGAGTTTGGCTACATTATTAATTAGCTGTGACTTCACATATATTACTCCTAACTGGACCTAAATGTCCTCACCTATGAAATGAAAACGGTAGACTAGACAGTCTCTGAATATTTTAAGATTCCACATGCATTTCACTTATCTGAAAATTGGTAATCCATATGTGCTGCATAATGATGGAAACACTTGGGAAAGCATAATGTCCAATTAACCAGCGTACCACCATTTCCCGGACATCCTGAATTAGTGGTGGTATACACTCCTGCATGCACGCCCGCCTCTCTCAATCACGCAATTTTTGCCAAGTCTATCCAGCACTCCTTTGACTTGTTGCTGTTGATTTTTTTCCTCTGCACTACCTCAAAGATTACACCTTTCCTGAAGCTTGTGCCAGATGCTCTCTTCCCCGTCATAAAAATCAGGAAGAAAATGTCTCTTAGAATCAAAGTCATTGACTCTATTAGCAACATTCCTGCACTGCCATCCTTACACAAGCTCTCACTGATTCTTCCTCCTTTTAGCTATAGTCCTGAAAATGAAGCAAACTCAAGATGGTTCAGCTGCCTTGTCCTCCTCTCCTTAGAGATGGCCTGTCCCTTCTCTGTAAAGGCTTATTCTTAACCGCTGTCCACCTCCTGGACTGCTCTGGAAAGACCTAAGCAGCACATTAGTCTCAAAGGCTCCCATGGTCTTTCCCTTCCTATTACTGCATTTCCTAAATATTTCCTTTTGTTCGTAATAACTCTACATTAAGTAGTACTATGACAATATAACCAGAGCCAAATTTGTTTTACACTGAATTTGAGTAATGTAATGCTATGTTTAACAAGGAGGAACCCACTTTGATTCCTTTGCCCAATCTGAAAACAACTGGCTTTTCTTTCTAGATCCAGTGGCCTTCCTACAGTCTTCTAACAAGAGTAATAACTACAGCAATGCTTATCATCAATGCAAACTTACATTACAGCAGGTGCTTCCCATAAGTCGTCTCATTTTATCCTCATAATATTGCAAGAGGGTAATTTTATCCTCGTGGTATAAGTAAGGAAACCGAGGGTAGAGAAAGCCTTCCACCACGTCAGCTCTCCTAACATGGGTCGAATCCTGGGATGAAACGTCTAGTGGAGCTCTAACTGCATGTCCATCCAAAAGCAGAACATCCAAGAGGGAGCCTTGGTGTTTGTGGTTGAGTCTGATGCCCCTAATTGTCCTTTTTGGGGTTCTCATCTGTTCCCAAATCCTGTGCCCATCTGTGGCCTTTAGGAATTTAGAGCATTCTGTCACCTCACCTGTCTTCTAGGGCAGGGCTTCCCGAATTGTGACGTGCTTCAGTATCTTCCGGGAACGTGGAGTTTGAGTAGCCTACGGTAAGACCTGATAATCGGCATTTTACAAGCCTCCCGCCGCTCCCAGTGGAAAAACATAAAAAAACACGAGAATATCCAATCTATCTTTATTCTGAGTAAAGGGTGGTTTTCTGTATGTCTCAGGTCTGGGCAATAAACCGCAGGTGAGTCTTTCTACCTTTCCCTTGCTGAAGTGTGCCCTAAACAAGGACATGTCATGATAAAGATAGGAATTAGGATTACTGGTGAGATCCAGTGCTATTTCAGCCCGTATCTACTTCTGGAATCTTTAGATCATCCCCTGTGACCCTGGACTATTCTTCATTCTCCCTGTGGGCGTTCCTGAAGGTAATGAAGATACTCCCTTTCCTGGTTCCAGGGGGGTTTCTCTTGGATTTCAGTATATTATCCTGCTCAGATTAAACAGCTATTTTATTTTCCTCATTCTGAAGATTTCTTTAACTTAAGTGGAACAGCTTTGAATCCTGTCTCTATTACTCATTATCTGTGTGACTTGGGCAAATTACTTATTCTCTAATAGTTTCCTTTTCCTCACATGTAAGGTGACAGTGGTGAATAGTAGTGCTTATTTTATGGAGCTGATATAAAGATCAAAGAGTCAGAGCCCCTGTGTGGGCCATTCACATCATAGTAGAAGTAAAAGTCTACCTCTAATGTTGTACAGTACACAACCTGTGCAGCTGTATGAAGAGACCCTAAAATAAACTAATATTTTTTAAAGGTTTAGCATAATCCCCTGGCATTGCAGGGATATGAAATTTACCATTCCAAAATGGTGCCTATTGTTTAATATTTATCCTCACCTTTGCTATTTCTATCTGATTTATTCTTATATTCTTAACATATATTCACTTGCCATTTGTTAAGCTTAACTCTACTGGCTTGCTAAGTTTGATTCCTTAATTGTGGATCCAAGATAACTGAGTTGGTTATGAGAGTGGCCTTAGTCTTAACTAAACTGTGGATTTACCTAAATTCATTCCCTTTCTCTTACCACAGTTTGTTTGTAACCAATGATATGTCTTTGTAAGATGGCTAGTTAAGGGTAAGGGTGCAGCCTATGGCTCTGAAACCATTTTTTCTCTTGCGTGAAATACTAACTAGCCTGCCCAGAAATTGGACCAACTACCTTGACCTCATTAGCCCAGCACTCCCAGCAGCAGAATATTTTGCTTTCATTATCCCAATACTGCAGCGATGATTATAAAGATACAGCAAGAGCAGTACAGAATCCAGACATTTCATTATTCCCATTAGTGATGTAAATCAGGGGAAGTATGCAAAAGAGAGGGTGAACTGGACTGCTTACATAGAAATCACAGATTTGACAAATAGGCTTAAGGATTAATATGTAGCAAGTGAGCGTGTGTATGTGGAGTGGGATGGGGAGAAAAGAAGAGGAAAGAGAGAGAACAAACTATGCTTCCTTCAGACAAAAGAGTAAGATGTACTAAAACAGATAGTTACAGATATGAGAAGACAAAGGGAGAAATCACATAATTCACTTCCTACTCTTTTACATTTTTATATCCTTTAAATATCACTCAAGCAAACTAGAAACACCTCGGAAAGAGAAGAAATATTTAATCTATTTAGTATTTAGTATTATGCCAACTTTATTTTTGATCCTTTTACACTGAAAATAGCTGTATGAGTGAATGAATGGATAAGTTAATCAAACTTATGACACAGTGAAGAATGTAAATTTTAGAGAGTAGTAGGGGTGAGAAAAGACACCATTGTGTAGGTTATTATGTGTTCAAACAAGGAGTAAACTTTTCTTCAGATATTATGATCAGAGAAATTCTCCTTAGTTTTGGGGTACCTGTCAAAGGTTGGCCCTGGGATTGTTGGGGAGCAGGTATCTCTGCTGTCAGTTATTTTAAAGTTACTTAAGGCTCAAAACAAAATAATATACTTTTAAAATATTTATCTTCTATATATATTATGTTTTATGTATGTTTATATTGTATATACAATATACAGCCACCCACTCACCCACAGCCTCCCAGTGCATAAGGCAAGTTTTCATCACCCTTTCCACACCTCCTGTCTGGCTAAGAACCTGGTCACCTGTCTCTGGCCAGGGCTGGCCCACATGGTCCTGTTAGCACTGTTTACACATTGTGGTGGACAAAACACACAGCCCCAGAGATGGCTCACCGCAAAGGATGATTCTGCCCTCTTACCTCATTCCAAGTCCTTTCAGCCCTCACCGCTAGGGTTGGGTCCATCCGTAGGGCTTTATACTTTACAGTTGCAAGTTCAAGACTCATCCGAAACCTTAGTATCTCAGTCCCCTCAACTCCCATGACCTCCATTCCTTCTCCACTTCAGTCGCCTAGCAACGCAGCCACACTGAAAGAGCATCATCAGACTCATTTCCCCTCAAGGCTCACAATCAGTTTAACATCGCCTACTTTCTCACTCCTGCTCAGTCTGCTCTGATTTTCCCCATGACCTCTACTCCCTTGACCATTTTCCACTCTCACAGTTCATGACCTTGTCTCTGTCTTCATTTGTCTCTCTACCCTGCGTGGACTTTATTCTCAGGCTCTTCAGTTCTTCATAACCTTGTAATCTCATGTGTTCCAATTTTTATACCTATGAGATCCTATATACTTTATCCTTCCCTGTTGTGATTGAGGACTTCAGAGAAGATGAGGATTTTTTGTTTGCTTTCTCATTGGGTTTTCTGAAAGTTCTGTCTTAGTTCAGGCTACTCTACCACAAACTGGGTGGCTTATAGAAACAGAAATCTATTTTATTTTTTTAAGGTGCATTGATATTAATTCAAAAATTGAAAAATTACTTTATCTTACTGCAAATGAAAATATGTCTTTTCAGATGCTTGTGTGTGTTTAGCAGAACTGTAATTTTAATGTTGGAATTCTGATGGGATATGAAATAATGGCTTCATTCTATGAAGTAATTTAAAGACATCAATTCTCATCATTTCTCTAAGCATATCAGAGAATAGAGATTGGAGAAAATATACTTCCTTTGTTTAACTTAGAATGCTGAGGAATGCAGATGCTCTTGCAATGGGTAATCACTCATTGATTTTTAAAGTCAAAAAACAATGTTCAGTGTCCTAATTTCTTTCTTATCCCTGGTTGAAGACAAGTACATGCCTTCATTGTAACTTTGGGAAATTTGTATTACAACAGTAATTTTCCCAATTAAAAAAAAAACAAAAATCATGATAAGAAAGAACCATATATTTATTGGGAGAGAAAAAGCTGCAAACAAACCATTTTGGGAAATCTGATCACAGATCCCATTTTATACACTATGTGTGTGGTGTGTGGATATGTGTGTGACAGCCATTCATGTAATCCAACTCTAAAAATCACTGTAATCCATCCTTATAGCATTCCTGTTCTTTTGATCATAGTGGCTGGGTATTTTTTTCTACTTCTTATTTCATTGTCTTATGTTGTTGGACTAAGAACGCAAAAGCCGTTGGATCCTGAACCATTCTGCTGCTTTCCACTCTGCTTTAAAATCCTTTCTTCCCTTACCCGTCTTCTTTCTTTTTCTCCTTCTTTGGGGGAAAATAACTTCCAAAATGAAATTCCACCTATGCTCTTGTCCTCACTCCCCCACAGCCCCTAAAGCACATGCGTGCACTTCCTCAAGAATAGTACTGTGATCGTTTCCATTATTCTCATAAGCCTAGAAGTATGATCTGTTTTCTTCTTATGCACAAAAATAAGCAGCTTTCATCCAAAGAATGGTCCTCTCCTCCATCGTCTCTTGGAAAATGTTTTTGAGATATTAGTTATATTCACTGTCTTCTTTCCTCCCCCCGCTATATCATTCATCAATCCTTTACAATCTGTGGTTCATCCCACCGACTCTCACCACACTTCTGAAAACATTCTGTTTATTTAGCAAATGTTTGATAAGCACTTGCCAAGGTCCAGGCACAGCTGTAGGAGCTTAAGTTCTATGACCAGTACTGAGCAATCATGACACCTCTGTCCACAATAATTTGTCCAAAGAGTCCAAATCTCAAGGAATGGAAGCGGTAGGGAGGGGAGGAGAGTGGGAATCGGAGAACCTTATATCAAATAAGCTCCTGAATTCAGCTGTGCCTAAAGATCTACTCAAAAACTTTTTAGTTACCTGAGCCAATAAATTCCTTTTCTGTTTAAGTAACTTTGTGTTTGGATTCTGTCATTTGCAACTGAAAGAGTCCTGAATAAAATAACATAGTTATTTGCATATACATATTATCCTCTTCTATGTAATCATAAACTGTTTGAGAGAAAAGACTACATTATTCATTTTGTATCTTCCAGAATGCTTGGCACATTGTGTACATCCAATAAATATTTATTGAATGAATAAGTCAATTTATAAAAAAGCTTAAATTTAGATTGATGCAGTCTTCAGACTTCTCTAGTGATTTGGATAACGAACAGCATCACATGGCAGAAATCTTTCAAAATTCCCTACCTCCCAGTGGGAACACGTAGCTCTCAGCCAGTCTTCCAGCCTTCCACCACTGTCACTTCATCTGCAGCCCCATTCGGCTTTTACTCAGAGAGGAAAGTAAAAGACACCTGGATGTCTGTTTCTGTGCTGTGAGCAATGAATATCTCAGGCTCTGGATATAACATGACTGAAAGGAAGAAATAGTGGCCTTTTCGGTTTTTATTCTTTCTTGATCCAGGTGCAAGCTTCTCTTTGTAGAGAAAGTACTGCGATCCTTCATCTAGAGCCACATCCTAATTAATTGTAACAAGAGCAAGAATTGAGGGAGATTATGATTTTCAGTTTCTCTCTCTTTCCCATACACCACACACACACACACACACACACTCAAGCATACTCCACACACACAGGCACACTCAAAAATGAAGGATTAAAAAGAAACCCAACGGATGCCCTGGAAACATATGCAAAGAAAGCTCACTCTGACTCACATAGTTACAGCTCTCTCTTTCTATACATACGAAGACAAGTACATACAGAGACAAATCTTTCCTTTAGGAGAAGGTCCCCTATGCATGTCTAGAGTCAGAGGAGTCAAAAGGACCAAGAGCTCTTCCCTGAAGCAGACAGAATGTGGGTGGAGGCAAACAGAATGATATATTTAAACATTTAGCAGGAAGGAAATCTTAGACAGTCAAAGCAGCATCCTTATTAATTGCCAATTGTAGAGGCAGTCTAACATTCATTCCCTTTCTCCTGTCTTGTTACTTGTTGAAAATACAAGAGAACGGGGTTGGGAGTTGAAGGGGCGGGAAGGATGGCAAGAAAGTCATCTCTTTTTCTCTGGGTGCACATGTGTGTTTTAATTATCCCTCTTGAGATACTTCTTTGCATGGTTGCTTGCAGTTGTGTTTTTGACATTGGAGCTTATGTTATCAGTAATTGCCAGCTTTGCTTCGTGCTTTGTTTTTTGAGGGAGTGGAGGTGATTAGGGTGGCCCCCAAACTGTCCATACTGCTCACCATTTGGAAAAGGCTAAACTGCTTACCATTTAAAGGCAGTACATGAGCTTGTTCCTACCCTGCTTCCTGTGGTCAGGAGCTCATGGCACTGAGACTAGAGCAGGAATAGACTGCAGGGCTTCTCAGTGAAGTCTGTGTGCCAGTTGGATATGTATTCATAGATTTCATCTTTGAAAAGATAACCTGGTAACTACCAAGACAGCTCCAATAATGACAATAACTAAGTCCGTTGAGTGGCAGAGTGCACTTTAGCCAGCAGTCAACTACTTCTATCACAAATATAAATAACAATCCTCTCTCTAATAACAAATGCTAAATATTCAACATTCTACATCTGCCTGTGGAGCTGGAGATCTTT